AGTCAGGAGAAACAATTGTTCCACTTGCTTATTTTTTGAAGGTGCATACAGTATTAGGAAAACATCAGGTAACTGTTCTTAAAGGAGAATTCCAAAATTTCTAAACAATTAAATGGTTAAGATATAAACAAAGTCATCTGGAGTGGTTTGATTTGAAATGAACAGCTCTGGAGAGATGTAGAGTTAGAACTGTTCACATTGGTGGTGATAGTAACTGGATGGCTAAAGAGTTTAATGCCTCTAAAAAGTCCTCACAGAAAGTCATTACACCAAATGGGTATGAAAACGTTAATTAACTAATCTAATGACAAAAAAGTATTTAAAATGTTAAAAAACTAAACTATGTTCTATTTTAGATTCTTCAAAGTAGCCCTCCTTTGCCTTGACACACTTTTACACACTCTTGGCATTCTCGCAATTAGTGTCTTGTTAAGTAGGTATAAAGTACCAAACGTTACTTAAAAAAAAGAAAACAGAGTAAGACATTTTTTGAGGGAAACCTACATATTCTCATTAGCCATTTTATCAGATACACGTACCATATTGGTGCACAGTTCCTGAATCAATGAACCCATCTGTTGCTGCACAATATCATTCACATGCAAAGAACCATTTGCATGCATAAATAGTTCTTTGCATGGTCAAATGGTTCTTCCTTGAGATGGAAAACCAGTTGTTTCTGGTTGTTTAAGGTATCCTGGTTCTATATAGCACCAAAACAGGTTCCATTCATGTTATGAAGAACCCTACAAAGAACCATTTTTTAACTAAGAGTGAAGAGATATCCATTTTATATCAATAAGTCAATAAGTCAATATTTATTAGCACCACTGTCACTGTCATTTATTAGCACTCTGTTACTGAAATTTTCTCTGTTTGCATGATTACACCTGAGTACACCTGCCTTCAAGATATCTAAAACCTGTTCACTCACATTTGTTATCTGCTCTAATTATAATGACATGGCAACCAAACTGTGAAGAACAGACCTCTCTCAACCCCACTCAGATACATGCACTGTCTGAAGTGTCATCATAAATAGGAGTACAGAGTGGGCTGTCCAGACATGAAAGTGCTGCTGAAGATGGAGACACGTCGGAGCTATGAGAGTAGATGAGAGATATAGGAGAGAGGTGATGGTTTAAGACAGTTAGAGAGAAGTTCCACAAGCCTGTCTGCCCTTGCATGCCCTGGCTGTTTACATCCCAGTCTTGTTAAGCCGGCGGTCTTATCTCCTACAGGCCTCTCCACACACCGAGCAGGACCTTTCTGTCTCCTCTTCATCTTCATGCACAACTTCTCTCCTTTGAGACACTGAGGTCAGGCATCTCATCCATTTCCAGAAGACCCAGTGACAGCTCACATCTAGCCAAGTTACATGCCAAGATACTCTTCCACACCAGACATTGGTGGTAGAAATCAGCTTAAATCTCTGGCTCAAAGGGCACGTAAGTGGTGCTTACCATGGCAGGCAAATCACTGCAGGTGGACAGATTGTTCCCCTTGATTTTACACGTACATTCAGAACATTCAGAAAAGGACTGAGTTCAACATATTCAATCAGCCACGGCCCAGTAGCACATTAAAGTCAGCTAGGCATCAATCGCAGGGAAAAACAGTTTGTAAACAATACTGCCCACAAGGACAGTCTATGATTATCTCCTCCTTCTGAACAGAACCATTATTCTAATGTCACACACTGGCGGATATGAAGAATTGCAAAACATGCTGAACACTGAAACTTACAGCAAGCTCTCAGCAGACTCTTCCTGGAGGAGGAGCATTTCTCTCCAATTCAGGCAGAGTCTATCTATGCTAATCCGTACGCATTTGGTCCATTTGCACACATGCCTCCTAGAGGGGGAGGATCAATAGAGGAGGAAAGCAGATGAAGGGAGGGCTGCACACATTTTTTCCTTTTAGCGCTGCTGTAATGAGTCTTGGTTGCAGTGCAGGGGAGCGCCCAGCAGGAGCTACAGGAACAGCATGTGGGTGGGACTCAATCAGAGCGCCCCATGACTCCCCAGCGTGCCAGCCAGCCCAGCGAGGAGAACTGCTCTGCCAGCGTCCTCACATCTTCCTCATTCATGCCATCCCAACGTAGAGAACCCATCAGGCAGACTGGCCCACTTGAGGAGGAAGCTGTGAAAACGTAATGTTTCCGCTGCATGTTCTCTGAACACTGGGGGAATGGCACGCATTGAGTAGACCTGGTGCATTGATCTCATCACCAACAGTTTCTTTTCAGCTATCTTCAGTTCGTTTTTGAAGGCTAGAGCTTGTTTGATATTTTTTTTTAATCCTTTTTTTATTTATTCTTTTTTTTGTTATGTTGATACTTCAAAACTCTTATCGTCTTTCATTTTTCATACTACACATGTGCAAATTACATATTTAATAATTTCATAGTAAGTTACAAAATCAATTACATTTACATTCAGACAAAAAGGATTTTTTCTTTCCATAAGCAAGACTGTATGCACAATAATGTAATCAAATCCAAATAAAAATGTTCTCTTTTACTTGCAAACATAACTGTGGTGTGGATTGAAAGTTTGTAAATTGCACTTCCACCACTGTTCTTCTACTTGAACTTCTACCTCAAGTGATAAATCATCTGGTAATGCTTTACATTAGAGGTCGCAAAGTAATTATGTTGCTAATAAGAGTAATAAGAGTATCCATTACAGTGATATAAGCTAACTATGCCTTAAGCATTAGTTATTACTTAGTAACTAATAGGTAATAGTAACTTAATTCACAATAGATTTAATTACTGAACAAAAAAGTAATTAACACATTTAATTAATTAACAAGTTTATTAAATAATAACAAGTAATTAACAAGACATTAACAAATTACCAAATAAGGACTAGTAAGTTCTAATGTTACTTGTTTGTATGAGTAAATACACTTATCAGTTCCCTTGGAGTGTAATAAGCAGCAATAATTACACAGTTAATGACTAAATAAGCTATGAACTAATGGCAAACAAGTCAACAGTGTACTCAATCACTAATTGCTACATAAGTTAACCAGTTTATAACAAGTAATAACACTTGATGATCAGTTAACTAATTATCAACAATGGTTAATCAGTGACTGAATAACAGCCTGAATAACAATGTGACCCTTAATGTTCACAGGTGTTAACTAAATATCCTTTAGCTATTGTTAGCTATTGTCTATTTTATTTACTATTATTCAGCTCTATTTACATTATGCTAACATATATGTCTGCTTTAATAAGCACTGAGCTGCATCACTGTATAAATCACATGAAAAGTGCCATATAAGATACTATTATATTGTTATTGTCTTTTGATAACTTCTCTTGAGCTGTTACTTGGGTTTTTAATCTGTCAGTGTGCATGTGTCTCACTGCTCTGATGAGATGCAAGAACAATGAAGATGAATTTCCTGATGAAGAAAATAGCCTCACAACTGCTTAATGTATACACAGGTGCATATGGCACCTCAGGGTCAGTGAAAGCACTTAGGCTGGCTGAAAAACGATGGCTCGTTTTGGGCAGAGTTCCTGGCCACAGTAATCCCCCACTTCCATACTTTTACTTAAATGGAAACAGCAGGCATTCTGGTGGGGTCAGCTTTCTCAATGGCCCAGGCGTGCATTCAGAGTGAAGGCATCAGCACTTCTCACCTCATCCAGCTCGGTAAAAGTTGAAAAGGCTCCCCTTTGGCCCTGCAGCCCTGCTGCCAAAGCCTGCATGTTTGGCACTAAGACATGCATTTCAGAGATGAGCTGGCTGCAGCTCAGCTCCATTCCACTCCTGGCACACAAATGCACAATAACACTAATGGTGTGAGGGAAGGGATGAAGGTAGGGAAGGGGTGATACCTCACTGGGAGAAAGAAGAAAAGGCTCAGGAGGACACACGTAGGGCAGGCAGAGTGGACACGGTGATAAATGACTATGAAAATGCATTGTGCTGTTTTGAGCGATGCTCTTTCACTCTCAATGACAAAACAAAAGAAAGAAAGGATATTTGCCCTTAAAAGTATCGCTATCAAGGTGTTACAGTTCTACAAGCTGTGAAGTTCAGGGAGACTGAGATGTTTGACACAGCCCCACAAGCTCTCTTTCTCTTCCTTTCGCAGCTGTTTAGGCATTCTGTCGGGCACAGACTTTCTCCTTCAGCTGCTGGCGCGGGTATCTGCTCATCGATTTGGACCCTGGCACTGCTCGTGACGCTCCAGTTAGTTCAAATGAAGAAAGATCCGTCTTGTTTATTCCCAGCTTTGGGTCACCCATGGGAATTGGACTGAGCTATACGGGCTGAGGTGAAATGGAACAAAATGAAATTGCAGCTAACTTTCTCCTTTGGGACATTTTAGTGACAGTATGGGAGTCAGCTAGCAGGAGCAATACTGAAAGCTGAGAGGTTAGCCACTTCACAAAATCTAAGGAAGTCACTGAAACAACATAGACACAAGGCTTGGATGAATCTTTCTCTGACAACAAACCTGTATGCCTCCAGCTAGGGACCAGTCATTCAGAACTATTCTAGTTATATTACACTGGAGACAATGTGTCCCTAGAATACATAGCCACAATATAGCAAAACAACACAGCATTAGATTTCATTCAACTGCCCCATGCCAGTGTTTAATGCAACAATAAACCACAGCCAAATGCACCCTGCACGGGTGGGGCAACCACAGCCAGCTCATCTCACATCTTCATCCAGCCTTCAGGCAGCCCTGGGTGACCTTGCAGAAACGGGAGTTCTAAAATGCCAAGCCCAAGTCAAAATATGATAGCTGCTTAAAAAGATGCCCAATCAGTCTCTGTGCTGGACACTGTTGTCTCCTCTGAAGCCTTTCCAGATGAGTTTGGGAACTGAACCCACTCTCAGAATCAATAACCGCAAGCCAACACTTCCTGGCTGCCAAAAGTCTTATTGAGAGGACAAGCCTGCCACAGCGAAAAACGTCAGTGCTTTCGATCAGCCACAGCCCTGATATAGCTTTGTGCTTACCTGTATTAGTGATATGTTGCTTAGGTTCAGGCGGAAGAGGTAGTTTCTGCAGAGCAATTGGAGAAAGGATAAAGGTTAGATGGTAAGCAGTAGTAGGCTTATAAAAATATAGCAGTTAAATCTTTAAACTACCAACAGATCTACAGGGCAGGGAAGGACCCCCAAACTGGGTCCTGTCTCACAAAGCATGTTCAACTTAGACAGGGTTCCTGACTGAGCTAGAATCTAAAAAAATGGAAATGCAGTTACTTAGTTTTAAGACAATGGTTAAAGAGCCTACATTCTACATTTGTCTTAAATGCTATTTATTTATTTATTTCCCCCCAGGGCCCACTTATGAGATTTGCTGACATGTAGGTTTATGTGCCAAAAATAGTTATAGTGCATTTTTACATGACCATTTTCCAACCTTTCTTCATCCCTTATGATTAAACAGCCAATTTTTGTTATTGTGCCTTTAACATATATATATATATATATATATATATATATATATGCAAATGATCTCTGTTTTGACTGACTAACTATTGTACCTCATTCAAATAGCAGTCTGAGATGAAACACTCCATATCAGAGGTAAACTGCTGTAGGCAGAATTGGCTGACATTTGAAATGTGTTGGTTTTTGGGACATCACAAAAACAACAAATTCAAAACAGGCTGCTTGTACAGCTTGGTTTTCATACATGGACTAGGGAGTATATTTTTAAAACTCTAACTTTGGTTATTTACTGCATCATACTGTTTTATTTTTTTAAAAAGCTAGGAAAATTTCCATGATATAAGCCTTTAACAAATTTCTCTCACAAAATACAAATCACATGAAACAGGAGGAGTCAAGTCAAGAAGGAAAAAGAAATCACATTATTTAAATATATAGAAAGTAAAACATTTATTATGGTAACAGCAATGTTGTCACCACTGTCACCTTGTTAAAGCTTATGTGACTGATGGCACAAACATCACATAGAAAAAGAACAGTGACCCAAAAAGGACCGGAGAGGTCCACGTCTGTCAGAAGGCTGTCCTTGATTGGTAAGAGGCTCAGCCCTGATGGCCCCAAGAGTTAATTATCCTGAACTTAACCTGCCCTGAGGCAGGCAAGGAGTGCAGCATAACTTGCCATGGTGATGTGGCCCAATAAAATATTATCTACTTTCACGAGACAGGATCAGATCAAACTAGGCTTGAAGTTAGCTGACTAAGCAAGAAATCCTGTTTTAAGACAGCCCCTAATCTAATTTAAGGACAAAAAAACTAAACAATTAAAGGTCTTTATTGGTTGATTTGGCACAGTACTTATTCAGTATTCAGTACTGGGTACTGACAATGTAGAAGTGAGTACCTTGCTCCTACTATCAGTTCATTCCTGGTGAGGTCAAGTGTGAGCTGGGAGTAGTCTCGTACACCAGGGTGGGAGAAAGTGGAGATCCACGGGCTGAGTGCTGAAGAAGAGAACAAACCAAATAAACGTTACCACAGTAAAGAAATGGCTTTCCTTCAGTAACTGGATTAAATTGAAATTACTGCATGTGTTATACAGACATTATATACATACATACATCATCTAAACCGCTTATCCTTCTGGGTCGCAGTGGGGTGCTGGAGCCTATAGACATTATATAATACATTTAAAAGAAAAAGCATGCTCAGATTGTTCAATTAATTATTTTCTTGAGAATTTAAAGGAAAACATGCTCCCCTGGAATCTCCAGCAGCTCAGTTTTGGAAACTTGTCACTCAGGTGATAAGAATGCTGAAGGTGCACTTAGTCAGTACTGCAGGAATCTACAGCTAATGAGTGTGATTTGAGTTTGTACAAGTAGTTCTTAAAACTGAAGCTAAATCAGGCCTTGGCACAGGGTTCAACTTTAACTGGGAATCATGAGGGAGACCCAGCAGAGAAGTACAATTCCGGCTGGGCCACATCATGGGTGCTGATCCTAATTTAACATGACACTCAGTCAAAACTCCACTTTCCAGGAAGCGCAACACATAAAAGCGCTGTTTGACACCAGCTTCTAGAAATCAAAACAATTTGCCCTGGCAGATACTCGGCGCACCCGTCGTGTCTTTTTGAAACGGGAATAAAATGACACAGAAAGAGCATTATGTAAAAATAAAACCATTTGATCTTTCGGTGACCTTAATGTGGCTTACTAAATGGGATTTCACTGTGAGCGGGAACTAATACGAAAGGAGATTTGTTATCTTTCAAGTAAGAACAAGATATCACAGCAGCTCACTGGATCTGACATAAGTGTAGTGAGAAATTGCTCTGAAATATTACCTAGCTTTTTCCTGATTCTTAATCCCTTCTTTTTCCCTAATCATCTGATTGGATTGAAAGTTCTTCCTTTGAATTTAGAATGATTATCTATTTTACATTCCCTACAAAACCATCAGTTTTGTTACGCAGAGTTAGGCAGAATTAGGCCATTAAATACAATTTCACTCATGTTCCCGATTGCCTGGAAAAACTCTTATGCAATGAAGCAGTGATATCGTCACGTAACACGTTTTTCTAATAAGCCCTTGTGTGATGCACATCTGACTCAACCTTTGAAGACACTAAACAAATGCAGCTGCATGTGTACAGGCCAGAACTGTGGTCAACCTGCCTCTCAACCAAAACATGTCAAATAAAACTACTCAACACAGTCTGCATCTGTCTAGGGAGACTAAGTCATCCAGATGTTTGGGTCAACTAAAACAATCCGTCTGTCACACGGGAACACAAATCTGAACGATGCAAGACTTCCTAGAATTCTGAGGCAAGACTACTGGGAGACGTGAAAATCACATCATTCCTTCCCGCTACCACACTAACAGGTAGCATTAAAGGATATGCGTAAGATTAACTGGGACAATATGGACACCAAAATTCAAGGCACCTTTTATAGAGGCCTATTAGAGAAGAGTCTTGTGCACTCTGAGGAGTTTGTGCTACTCCTTGTCCACATCAGCGAGTTTTAAAAGGGAAAAACCCAGCAGGAATCCCATTCAGGTTTAGTAACCATAGCCTTAAACATGTCCGACAGCAAGATGCTCTGGACTATCTTGACTATACCACAACCATTAGTGGTTATATCCAAGACACTGGCCTTTGACAGAAGGACAGTTGATCTGTTGATCCATAAAAGGTCCAAAGAATTTGGTAGTCAGTCACTCTCCTCCAAGACTCCTAGATTAGATTCAGATATTGGGAAGTAGTGAAAATTAACATTAAGGAGGTAACTGATCCAAAAAAAACAAAAAAAAAAACAAGCCTGCCACAGCTACCATGTGCCTAAACTCACTGCCCATTTTATGAAGTACACCTACTTACACACACATCAAAGGTTTAATCATAGCCAAAGGTTTAATTTAAGCCTATTATTTACTCATTCTAGAATAAAAGTGAAGAAATTAAACTATAATCACATATGTAATTCTGCAGTAACCATAACCATTTTCAGTTCTTAAAAGTAGCTAGTTTGTGCCTTGATATTAACTTCATGCATTCTTGGTGTTTTCTAAAGCAGCTTCATTAGACTTTTTTATTGATTTTCCAAGAGGCTTGAAGATGCTCCACATAATGCTGAGACCAAAATGATAACTAATAAAATGGGACACTCTGGAGCAGCTGCACATGAGCCTAAGGCAACCATGCGCAATGCCAAGTGTCAGCTAGAGGGGTACAATGCTCCCCAACACTGGCATGTGAAGCAGTGGAACTGCATTCATGGAAGTAAATGAGTATCACTGAATCCCTTTAAGAGATGAGCTGGAATGCTGTTTGTGATCCAGAGCTTACCATCCAACGTTAGTATCTGACCTAACCAATGCTCTTTTGAATGCAATCAAATTCTTGCAGTGTTCCAACATCTAGTGTAAAGCCTTCCCAGAAGAGTAGAGGCAGTTATTGCAGCAAATGGGTGCAAACTCCCTATAAATACCATTGATTTTGGAAGAAACGAGAATGGTCCAACTCAGTATGTACATGTCCAGTATATAAGTATAATCTGATTAGGTGGTATGCTCTTCTCGACCAGAGTATATAGTAAAGTTCCGTGCAATCATAGCTTTTTACTGTAGAGGTGAATGATGGACAGATGCTCTTTAGTAGACCTGAAGAAGTGTTTTACAGCTTAAAAATCACTGCATCCTGTAAATGAAGCCTGTGGAATCCCAGATGGCTGCGGCTAGAAGAGTGTTGATACAGGAAAGTGCGTTTCTCCCATGTGTCCCGGAGCAGAAGAGCGCATCCTTCACTCACTCACGCTGTCCGGAGGAGCATAACATGTATGCTCCGAGAAACAGAGCGAAGAGGAGAAGGGATGACACATAGCGCTGGCTCTGCACACCGTATGAGTGAAATGATAACCTTTGAGTCACCCGCGTGCACCGCAGTGTTATACCCCACTGAGGAGAAAGCTGAAGTGTTTAACAGCACACAGGAGAGCATGCGGGAGCCAAAAGAGGCAATTCCAGAAAAGACTCATCACATATCCAGTAAACAAAACTGCCTTAGCCAGAAAAAGTTGGACAATCTGAGAGCCAAGACACGTTTTCACATACGGCTGTATATACAAATCTCCTTAACACAAAATTCCTTTATTAATAAATACTTTAAAAGAATGAACAAAAACACTAAAGGCTTACTACAAAAGACATTTATCCATTCACTTACTCATGCCTTTCTATGCAAGGCTGGCTCCTTCACCTCATAAAATCTATCCAGCACCAGGCAGTCCATCCACAATAAAGAGGGATAAATATGAAAGCCTGTTTGTTCCCAGAGGGCCTACAGTCCAGATCTTAGAGTTGATGGACGATTATTGCTTTTTTTCTGCCAATCCACGGTGTGGGAGATTAATGCATTAGCCACCAGATCTAGAGGATGAGAACAGGCTCAGCAGTCTGCCTCGCACACTCTAAAGGGGACATAAATCATAACCTTTATCACCCAGTTACGCAGAATTAAAACAGACTTCCTCTTTACTTTAGACACACACACAAAAAGACAAGGTGGTTCTGCCCACACCACAGAGAACTCAGCTATCGCTTAAATGTTTTGTTTTTTTTCCATCAGCAAATGGACACAAGGAATGTTTATAAATGAATATGTGGAAAGATGAAGTGGATAACTTTCTAATGAGTCAAAATCTGATATAATCTGAATATAATATTGTATATAAACCAGCCAAAGTAAGCCTGGTCACCTTTTTATACTAAGCACCAAATATGTAATCCCTAAAGGAGGGCATTGAATATTAAACAATGCACAATGCACTGCGCAAATACACCACACAACCGTTGGAACCCTCCCTAGCCCACTGCAATAAAAATGCACTGATGTAGAGCCTAATAACAACAGACATAGTATTTAGCTTCTTAGGAGTAAAGTTAGCTCTGTAACTTCTGCATTGACCATCTATTGGGGGAAAAATGTATATGTGCTCCAAAGCACTTGTGGTTTTTCAAAAGTTCCAAAAAACCCACACTGAATTTACACAATTCAGGTGTGTATATCAGTATGTAACTGTTTTGATCAGTGCTCACCATCAAAATAACAAACAAACTGGTTCACTCTGAGCAGAAACAGTATTTTAACATATCTTTTGCTTTTGACGATGAATGAAAGTAGACATTTGCTATTTTGACATAATCTATTTAAGCTATTTAAAAAAGAGCTTTGTATCAAGCTCACAGACCACACAGACCACCCACAGACAACAATGACAGACACTTTTTTAAAGAAGCTTACTCCTTTATTTGTTTTTGGCTTTAGAAATAGGCAGAAAACAAAGCACGCTGTCGAAGGTCCCCCACATTGTTTATCCCTGTAGCATTTACAGGTCCCCCATATGATTTACCTTTTTTTCTGGAGCTTCAAACTGACTATATTCACTAACACTAAGCCTATCACAATTATTACAGTCACCTAATCGCAATTATTGAAGCTGACCACAATTATTTTACACAGTTATCTTTCACCATTATATGTTTATATGACATCAAACACAACATAAATTGGGTATGCTACCTTGAAGCAAATGCATGTAAATAAAAGAAAGCAGAAAACACATTTATTGAGACGTCATGGGTCTTACAAAAACAACAACTAAGTTCTAACTTAGTTACTGGTTTGGTGCTGTAACCGTTTTAGGGGGCAGCAGCGTGTAATGTTCGTTTATTTGCGCTCAAGCTAAGACTGCTATCAGAAAGCAAGATAGCTAACTAACCAATCCGGCCACTTTAGGCTTGTGCTTTAATAGTTGCATACAATGAATAAAAAGACAATTCAGTTGTTAATTGGAATTATTTATAAGGCAATTAACTGTCAGCTCAAACTTCATGATCTTAACAGGCCTAGCTGGAGTTTTTATAAAGCAACTCTGTCAAGATAAATGTTAACTAATGTAATTGTCTGTGCATGTGTTGTTTCCTTAATTTCTTCAGT